GGGTTTTATAAAACATTTTTGCTTTAGGCCTCCGCCACCCTGTGCAAAAAAAAAAGGTTCAATCAATCAATCAATTTCAACTTCTCATGGGAAAAAAAAGATTTCGCAAAATTGGAATTGATTGAACTTTTTAGTCCCACCCAGCCTGTCATTACCACTGCAGCCATAGCCACCCAATGGGCCATGCCCACCCAATGGGCCACACCTACTCAATGGCCCATGCCCATCCAGCACCTGGCAATACGTAAGTGCGTTTGGGTTGTAGTTTGGGCACTCGGTCTCTAAAAGGTTCACCATCACTGTTCTAGGTCAACCTCCTGTTCAGGCAGGAAACTCAGAAAAATGGTTGTCCAATCTTTTGTTAAAATCTCCACTACTGGAGCACCCACAACTTCTGGAGGCAACTCGTTCCACTAATTGATTGTTCTAATGGTCATGAAATTCTCCTCAGTTCTAGGTAGGGTCTCTCCTTGTTTCTTGCATTCAGATGCTTTGGAAAATAGGTTGGCAGCCCTCAAATATTGGAAAACAGCTATCATGTCACCATTGGTCCTTCCTCCCCCCCATTAAACTAGACATACCTAATTTCTGAAACTGTTCTTCATATATTTTAGTCTCCAATCTTGTTATCATCTTTGTTGTTCTTCTCTGCATTCTTTTTAGAGTCTCTCAATATCTTTTTTATATCATGACAACCAAAACTGGATGCAATCTTCCAAGTATGGCATTATAAGGTATTAGCTTTTTACGTGATGTTGATTCCATTCTTCTATTAATATATCTCCAACTTCTGTTATCCTTCAGAATTCCTGTAATTCTTTATTTGAGGGTAAAATTTCAAAATTCTTGGAAAACTGAGTTGTTTTTCTTATCGTATGGTAAAGCACTTCCATTGAGAATAACATTAAAATTATATTTGTACAGGGTATATATTCTCAAGAACATTTGCATTTCAGTGAATTGTACTAGTTGTGCAATTATATCCCTTGGAAAGAAGAGAAAAGCAAAATATCAATACCCTATTTATTTTTTAAAAAGAAAATAGAATGAGCAATGTGGTGGAATCTAGAATTGAATTGCTAAAAGTGGGAAGGGGATATCTAAGAAGCAAATCATCTTATAATATTTGGTATGTAGAAAAAGAGCTAGGAGGAATTTCCCTTAAAGATGCACAAGAATTATCTGCTAGTTATGTAATTACTTGTGTTATTTTTAATTCCATGTGCCTGACAAGCAATGATGCAAACCAAGTAGAACCACACCAAGGTTGTTGCAGGATGAGTATTATCTACTTTTTTCTTAAAATTTCATATAAGGTTCATATAAAATATTTCATATAAGGTTCATATTAAAAGAGACATTTAGAAATAGAGAAAGATGGGAGGGAGGAGGGACAATTAGATTTGACTTGGTTGATTACAAATGAAATCTCAGAACAAATACTTTATTTGGATATTATTTTGGTTGGATTTATTTTACTCTTCACATTTGTTCAGGCTTATTGCTTGCCTGAAAACTCAAACTAAAAAGTCTTCTGGATACATTAAATTCACAGACTACCAATTAAAAATGCAGAGATAAAATGTTTAAAATATACACTTCCAAAATTAAGAGCACAAATGTTCTATCATAGGAAACATGTCTGCCTGCTAAAATCTTCTAATGGATACAGGATTGTGGGGGAAAAAAGACACTATCGTGTAATCATATTTAAATACATGAACCATATCATTTTAAAATTTAGTATAAAAATATAATAGATGCATAACTTTTTCAAACCAAAATGAATGTCATACAAATAAAATAGTAGTACATATACAATAAAGACAATAATTATATTACATCAAATAATAATGTTTACTTATGTTCTATGCTATATCGCAATATATATTTTACATTAAAATATACTTACAATGGGAAAATATCATTAAGATTTAAATGGCAGTTCTGAGGGATGATTCCTGGAGAATCAAATAATATTTATTTCTGAGAAACAAAAATATTCAATTCACCCATTGGACAGGGAACAACAATGATCCTAAAAAAAATAAAATATAGACAACTGGAACTGTTTATCAGGGTAGCTGAATCTGAAAATGATTTTTGCATAAGGAATGTGGACAAACATGGAGAATTAACTTCCAGAATGCCATTTTGAGTTCACTGTTCCTCATGCTGTAGATCAATGGATTCATGACTGGTGGTACCAAACAGTAAAATATTGAGATAAACGGATCTAATGCTGAAGAAGTGATAGAGGCTGGACTGAAATAAGCAAGGCTAGCACTTGCCACATACAGACAAATGACTATAAGGTGGGGTAAACAAGTAGAGACGGCCTTTTGCTTCCCATGGATAGAGGGGATTTGCAAAACTGCTCTAAAAATCTTAACATATGAAAACACAATTAGAACAAAAAGAATGAATCCTACACAAGAACCAAAGATAAGTGCCAATTCTTCTGCAACATAAGAGTCTGAGCAAGAGATCTTGAGTAACTGAGGAATTTCACAGAAGAACTGGTTGATGATTCTGGAACAGAAATCCAGTGTGAGTAAATTTCCAGTATAGAGTATTGAAAAAAAGAGACCACTAATCAAGGCACTAATTACCATTTGGATGCAGGCTCTTTTGTTCATTACTGTTTCATAATGTAATGGTTTGCAAATTGCTATATAACGATCATATGCCATGACAACAAGGAGAAAGAGATGAGATATCACAAAGAAATCAAAGAAGAAAACTTGACAGAAACACCCAGCATAAGAAATAGCTTCAGTGTTCATTAAGGAATTCACCATGGACTTAGGAACTGTGGCTGAGATAGAGCCAAGATCTTGGAAAGATAAGTTGGCCAGAAAAAAATACATGGGTGAATGAAGTTGATAGCTATAAAGAATGACAGTGATGATAATGAGGTTTTCAATGAGGACCACCAAATAAATTACTAAAAAAATGATGACATGAAATATCCGAAGCTCCTCAGTATCAGGGAATCCATGCAGAAGGAATTCATCAACTCTTGTCTGATTTTCCATAGTATTCCTCAGGCTTTGCATTCTGTGGAACTCACACTAAATTAGATTCTTTTCCATACATCACTATTCAAGATATACTGGGACACTTAGAAAACAATTTTCTCTGACCTAACCATGCGAGAGAGAAGAAATTAGACTTTTATCTATGGGGTATTTGTAATTGTGCTCAAGGGGACTCATTTTGCAAAAGCATAGTTAGGTTCACCAGGTGCTTGGAACTTTTGTTTATATTGGCTTTAAACCAAAGAACAAGGACTAGAGATTTTCTATGTTCACTTCCATTTTAAAAGTAAATTTCATAGAGATCTATCCATCTCTCTCTTATACATACATACATACATACATACATACATACATACATACATACATACATACAGTGATGGGATTCAGCCGGTTCGCACCGGTTCGGCAGAACCGGTAGATAAATTTTGTTGAGTTCAGAGAACTGGCTGAATGTACACCGCTTCTGGAAATCCATTCTAGTCCTGGGAGGCCTGGAGGAGGCCTCTCAGGCTAGAATGGCCTGCCAGAAGTGCAGGGATGCCACTTCCGGAAGTCCATTCTAGGCTTCAGAGGCCCAGGCCTGCATCCACACAGAGAACCAGTTGTTCAGGGATTTGAATCCCACCACTGCATACATACATACATACATACATACATACATACATACATACATACATACATACATATGTTTGGCCAAAGTACTTCAACATTGGCCATGAAAAATTGAAATAGAGACTAGCAAATAGCTGGACAAAGCAATTGAATTATTTGAAGAAGGAAAACCGAGATAGAACCCATCAACCTTGATATGTCTTTATTGGTACTTCTTAATAAAGTGGATTGATCACATTCATTATTCAGTTTATGAACAGTACCATGGATTGCTGCTCTGCACAACCTACTTATAAACAAAGCAATACAGTTAATCCAATTTCAGTTACTGTAATGTATCTATTAGGATCCTTAGTTAGCAAATAATAAAAATGAATATTTCCAAAAATCTTTGATTTTTAAATCTAAGAATCAAAAGTATGATAATTCCAACTACATGAGCAATTATAAATGAAATAAGTAAATAAACAAACAAATCACTTTTTATATTTTTTGAAGCCAAAGTGATCAACTGCTGGCAGTATAAATATAAACTAGCACCAGAAATAAAAGAAATATTTAAGTCAAAGTGTCTAATGTCAACTTGAGCATAGACTGAAGGAGATTAAGAAACAAATGTGTCTCATTTGAAAGAATATTTATCACATGTCCAAAAATAATTTTCCATTTTCAATAGAAATTTCCTGTTATAAAGAAGGAATGAATGAATGAATGAATGAATGAAGGAAGGAAGGAAGGAAGGAAGGAAGGAAGGAAGGAAGGAAGAAAGAAAGAAAGAAAGAAAGAAAGAAAGAAAGAAAGAAAGAAAGAAAGAAAGAAAGAAAGAAAGAAAGAAAGAGCAATAAATGCAGCAATTTAAAATACAAGTGTGAGTTCTATAATGAACCTCAGATTCCAAGAAAGACATATAGGCTATAGCATTGCCCTATCAAAGGCACCTAAAGGCCGAGTTATCAGTTTCATTTAGAATGTCAAAACAGAATGTGTTGCATTCAGGCCCTATCATCCATGAGAATAAACAATGAAACAATTAAAATTAAACAAAACCAACTGAAAAACAAATTACCCTTTTTTATTTGGATTAAATAGAGTGTAAACAAAAAGTCCAAATTTCTTACATACCTAATATACCCCAGGGCTCCTGAACCAAAGTAGGCTTCCACAAAATGAGCTCCCTTGAGGATAATTGCAAGCACTCTATAGATAAAGCTTTAATTCCTTCTCTCTTATGCTGCCAAGATGAAGGAAATTATTTTCAAAATGTTTCAGTCAGACTTGAATCCTGATGCATGGAAAAAAGTCTGATAGTTGAATTCTTTCCACAGACTGCACCACAGGAACAGCACTATGGAAAATCAGTCAAGAATTGATGAATTCCTTCTGCATGGGTTTCCTAACACTAAGGAGCTACGAATATTCCATATCGTCATTTTTTTACTAATTTATTTGGTGTCCCTCATTGAGAATCTTGTTATCATTACTGTCATTCTTTATAGTCATCAACTTCATTCACCCATGTATTTTTTTCTGGCCAATTTATCCTTCCAAGATCTTGGCTCCATCTCTGTCACTGTTCCCAAGTCCATGCTGAATTCTTTGATGAACACTGACACTATTTCTAACTCTGGATGTTTTTGTCAAGTTTTCTTCTTTGTTTTCTTTGTAATGTCTCATCTCTTCCTCCTTGTTGTTATGGCATATGATCGTTACGTAGCCATCTGCAATCCATTACACTATGAGATGGTGATGAACAAAAAAGTCTGTGTCCAAATGGCAACCAGTGCATGGGTGGGTGGTCTTTTTTACTCAGCTCTCTATATTGGAAATTTATCCACAGTGGAGTTCTGTTCCAGAATTATCAATCAGTTTTTCTGTGAAATTCCTCAGTTGCTCAAGATTTCTTGCTCTGACTCTTATGTTGCAGAAGAGCAGGCACTCATCTTTGGTTCTTGTGTAGGGTTCTTTCTTTTTGCTCTGATTGTCTTTTCATATGTTAAGATTTTTAGAGCAGTTTTGCAAATCCCATCTACACAAGGGAAGCAGAAGGCTTTCTCTACTTGTTTGCCCCACCTTATAGTCATTTGTCTGTTTATAGTTAGTGGTACCTTTGCATACCTGAGACCCACATACCGTTCCCCATCAACATCAGATCTCTTGATTTCTTTGTTCTACAGTGTGGTACCACCACTCATAAACCCCCTGATCTACAGTGTAAGGAACCACGAGCTCAAAATGGCATTCTGGAAGCTAGTTTTCCATACATGTTCATATCCCTTCTGCAAAAATCATTCTCAGTTTCAGCTACACTTATAAGCAGTTACAATTGTTTATACATGTTCTAGAAATATTGTAATTAAAAAAGATCTTTGAATTCCATGTCTGATGGGTGAACTATATATGAATGCTTTCTCACAAATGAATATTATTCCTCAATAAATTTGCCCAGAATTGCCATTTAAATCACAATGATAAAGTATATTTTAATGAATATTAATGTTTTGTGATATATCAGTGTTGACTATATATTACTATATATTACTGTTTTATTTAGATGACTTTAATTTTGTGTTTAAATAATTTTCATATAATACAGTTATCATATCTAAATATGATTCCACAATGGTGTCATGTATTTAATCTCTTTTCCTTTAAAATTCTGTTAAATAAATATAGATCCTATCAAGATGCACGTGTCTCCTTCTCAGAGGGATAACATAATATGACAAGTACAATTCACTGAAATGGAAATGTTCTTGGGAATCTAAACATATCTTGTACAAATATAATTTTGAGTTATTCATAATGGAGTTGTTATACCATAGGATTTTATTTATAAATATCTCAGTTTTCCAAGAATTTTCAAATGTGATTTTATCCCCAAATAAAGAATCATAAAAATTGTTAAGGATAACAGATGTTGAGGCTAACTGGGACTTTGAATCTGAAAGGAAAAGTTGCTTTGAGGTACATATTGTCAACTTCAAAAAATATCACCGTGCTTTTAGTCCTAATTTATTTCTGTAGGCATCCATTGAGAGATGGTTTGATTTGATTTGCATGTATGATTTATGCCTATACCTATACCACTGTCTTTGGATTACAAACTTTGGAAATGAATGTGCAAAATTATTTAGATTGAAAACAATGTCTTCTACAAGTTGGACACATTTTGTTTAAAAATTGCCAGTTAGTGTCATAGTGCCCATTCATGAATACCATTTGCTTTCAAATCTAAAATGTTGCTTAGTCCTACTTCATTTTGACATCTTTCTACTGTTCTCTGCATAATATAATTGGGGAAACTCCATTATAGTTCAAGAGGGGAAAAAAAGAAAGCCTTGAGTCAGTTTCAACACTTCTCAACCCTTGGACACATTCATACAGCTTTGGGGCATACATGTGGGTGGTTTGTTCCAATATGTTTTTTTCAGCTAGGAATATTTTTATTTTCCTAGTCAAGACTATATCTTTGTACTCTCTGATGGTCTTGAATTCAGTGATTAACCAACTCAAACTCTGCTGAACTTATAAACAGACCTGTTTGGATGGTCCTTTGCCCTTTCAACTTCATTGTTTTCTTTTTTGATTTTCATTGCCAACACACAATACCCAAACCTTCTCTTCTTGCCCTGTATTTATAGCCATTTACTATATTGTGCTTGCCAAAAGAACACCTTTGAATTTTGATATTGGGTCATATAGCTAATGCTCTGAATGCCAGTCATTTGGAGTGACTATCCTTAAAAGTCCTGCTTCCCTGGGAAAGGGTAAATAGAGTCTGTCAACCTTGCAACAATAATGTCAATGAAAAGCATGATTCACTGTCATTATTATTCAGGCTTTTTATTCAGGACTTTTAGTTCTGCTTGATTCCAGTCCATTATTCCAGTTCTGTATATTATTATTATTATTATTATTATTATTATTATTATTATTATTATTATTATTATTATTATTATTATTATTATTATTATTATTATTATTATTATTATTATTATTATTATTATTATTATGGATCATCACACAGTCAGCCAGATGTTCAGACTGGATTTGGCATTTTGTCTACCTATTGAATCCTTACCAAGGACCTGGGATAGCCAGATGTGGATGTTTGATGGTATTACAGATATTGTCGCAGGATAAAAGCAGTTCCTGCAACATAACACCCCGGACTTAACAATTGTCGATAAGAAAGACAAAAAAGTCTGGATAGTGGACATGGCAGTGCCTGGAGACAGCAGAATAGACAAGAAAGAACTGGAGAAGATCACAAAATACAAAGACCTACAAATAGAAATAGAAAGACTGTGGCAAAAGCACGCAAGGGTAGTACCAATAGTAATAGGTGCCTTGGGTCCAATCCCAAAACAACTTGAGCACCACTTGAACACCATTGGCATTGACAAATTCACCATTAGTCAATTGCAAAAGGGGCCTTACTAGGATTATTATTATTATTGTTGTTGTTGTTGTTGTTGTTGTTCCCGGATCTAAAATAACTAAACTATTATAATAAAACACAGTATATAATGTTCCCAGTAATAAAACTTTTGTAATTGAGGAGCTGAGATTTTATCCATCCCTATTATCAATGTATTTTTCCACATTCATTTAATATTTATTTGGTGGTCTATATTTTCCCAAATTTCTTTAATTACTTCTTGCTGACCCTTCTGTTTCATAGTTACTGAAATGTCAATTTGTTTATTAATAGCTACAGTTAGAGTCATGTGAAAAAATAGATACACCCACTCTGTGTTCTATAGTTTTACATATCAGGACATAGCAAAGATCATCTGGTTTTTAGCAGTTCTTAAAAGTAGGTAAATACAACTTCAGATGAACAATAATACATGACATATTACTCCATGTCATCATTTATTTTACAAAAAGGAAGTCAAAATGGAGAAGCCATGTGTGAAAAAGTAAGTATACCCTTACTGCTTCCATATGTAGAAAGAGGCTAAGCCAGGTTCTGCTAATGAAGTGCCCTTGATTAATTGATCTTCAGCAAGTATGACTACCTCTACAAAAGTCAAAGTTTTAGGTGTTTGCTGATCTCCAGCATTGAGATATAACACAGTGTCAAAGGATAAAGACATCAGCAATGATCTCAGAAAAGCAATTGTTCATTTCTAAAGTCCAGCATTCTACAGCGAGGAAGATTATTCACAAAAATTCAAAACAGTAGCCAATCTTTCTGGAGTGGATGTCCCAGCAAATTCATCCCAAAGTCAGACCATGCAATGCTTAGAGAAATTGCAACAAAATGCAACATTTCAGACTCTACAGGCCTCAGTTATATGTTTAATGTTAAAGTTCATGATAGTACAATTACAAAAAAGACTGAACAATTATGGTTTAATTGAAAAGGTTGCCAGGAAAAAAGCTTTTTCTCTCTAAAAAGAACATGGCAGCAAAGCTCCTTTGCAAAGTTGCATCTGAATAAATGCTAAGACTTCTGGAACATGTCCTTTGGACAGACAAGACCAAAGTGGAGTTGTTTGGCTATAATGCATAACGCCACATTTGGCAAAAACCAACCACAGCATATCAGCACAAATATCTCATACCGACCATCAAGCATAATGGTGAAGAAGTGATTATTTGGGCTTGTTTTGTAGCTCCAGGACCTGGGCACCTTGTAGTCACTGAGTTGAGCATGAACTCCTCTGCACACTAAAGTATTCTAGAGTCAAATGTGAAGCCATCTGTCTGACAATTAAAGCTTGGTTGATATTGGATCATGAAACAAGACAATGATCCCAAGCACACCAGAAAATCTACAGCAGAATGGCAGAAAAAGAATGAATCAAGGTATTACAATGACCCAGTGAAGTTCCAGATGTTAACCAGATTAAAATAATGTGGTGAGACCTCAAGAGAGCTATATACAGTATAAGCAAATGCTCATAAACCTCAATGAACTAAAGCAATCTTGTAAAGAAGAGTGGGTCAAAATCATTCTACAATAATGTGAGAGACTGATAAAGTTATAAGAAAATAATTACTTCAAGTTATTGCTGCTAAAGGGGGTTCTATAAGCTATTGAATCATTGGGTGTACTTACTTTTTCACACATAGCTTCTCCATTTTGGCTTTCTTTTTGTAACATAAATGATGACATGGTGTAATATGTCATGTGTTATTGTTTATCTGAGGCTGTATTTACCTTTTTTTAAAAACTTCTAAGAACCAGGCTATTTTTATTATGAGACCATAAAACTCAGAGAGGGTGTACTTTGTCTTTCACATGACTGTATATCTGATACCCAGTTAGGTGTAGTGCTAAGGCATCAGTCTAAAAGGTGGATGACTGTGAATTCTAGTCCTGCATTAGGCAGGACACACACACACACACATACAGAGAGAGTCATATCTAGACTTTGTATTTGAAAAGATATTTCAAAATATGCACATAGGACCATTTGGCAACCCATTAAATTAAAAGTGTTGTTAAGATCATGTTACAGTTACAATATAAAAGCATCCAATTCAATTCCAATCCCCCAATTTACGTATATATTTTACAAGATTTGTAATCCAGCAATTCTGGCCAGTGTACAATAAAGGTATAGATATATAAAGAACCAATTTGGCATGGTGGTGAACGTGCTGCATCAATCAGTGTTAGTCCTCCCCTTTTGGGCCAGTCTTTCAGCCGAAATCATCTCATAGGACATAGCCAATGGAAATCAGTAAAATAATCAGAGAATTTACAATTGTAATACAAATTAAAATTCATTATTTGTTTATTTCATTTATTAAATAATTAAAGTATAAATGCAGACTCATGTCATCTTATGAAACAATTAAAAATCACTAGAAAACTCTAAACATTAATATTTAATTTATTATTTCTAAAATTCCTCCACATGTTCTTGAGGAGGAGGAGAATATTTATAATATAAATTGGTTAATGTTTTACATTAAAAAAAATACTCTTTAAAAACTGTATGCTCAGTATCTAAGATTAACTTATCATTATAAGGTAATATAATATAACAATAATCATTGTTATTGAAATTTTGTCAAACATTTGCTCTTGATGTACATTGTTAATTTTCCCATTACTGCATATTTCACAAGTTGTTTTCCCAATTTGACATTGTGAGAAATTTGTCTTTGGGGTCAGCAACATATATAATAATAATTTGACATTTTTTAAAATTTCTTCTGGAAAGATCTAGTAGAAAGAACTACAGTTTCAATTCAAGCTTTGTTTTTATTTATTTATTTTAAAATAATGCTGAGTACTTCTTTCTAGTAGAACTGATACTTCATTGATCATGATGTACTTAAAAATTTGTTGA